ACAAAAAATCACAACATATGTAATAAATATGGTTTACAAAAAATAATTATTTGTAAGCTATGATAATTTAAATAGAATGCAGTAGTAAGCGTTCATTCATTGAAAAACAATTTAGTAGTCACTCGTTAATACTTATACATGATATTGAAGTAATTGTTCGAAGGTAGTTGAGCCAACCTTGGATTATAATTTACCTACCTACTCAGAACAGTTTACCTATATTTAAACAGTTCATTATTCAATAGTTTCGTTTCAAACTTTAAACTTTGACCATTGTTAACTAACAATTTATGTTGTGTTTAACTTTTCAAAATAGTATGTTCATCACAAAGATGATTTACAATAAAGGAAAATGGTTTCATTAATTTAAATTACTCAATTTGTTCATAGGTTTATTTTTTGTGCATGTTCCACCACCTTTCTCAGAAACAACAATTAATATTCCATACAATTAAATAATTTTAAAATTTGCATATACCCTATACTATTAGGTACCTATACTATATTATTACTCAACAGGTAATAATTTGACTGATAAAAAACAAAAAAAGCTAAGGGTGTGGCGTGTACTATGGAATAATCGACAATCATAGTTATAGAACTCCCACGCGCCAGTGTTCCTCTGTTCATTTAATAATAAAATATTTAATTCGAATTAAAATTTATTTTATTTTACGACTCATTTGTACTTCACTAAAATAATGTATATTATTATTAGCTATTAATAGTTAGTAATTAGTTATTACCAGTCAAAATGGGAGCATACTACTTGCGTCCGAAATTATTATCAGTAGGTGAGTTGCGTCAAGCAAAAAAAAGGTTCAAAAAGGTCATAGCCTATTTGCGTCCCAGTACAAATTTTTTTATGACCTAATTGCGTCCCAAAAATATCGATATAATCGATATAAAAATGTAAAAAAAAAACTATAAAAAAAACTATTCTGAGCGAAAACGGTCAGTCAGCCTATGATATTACTAAGTTTATTTCAATCCTTAACTATAAAAGTTGAACGAGTATTTTTCAACTTCAGGAGTATATATTCAATTTTCACGCTTTTTTTTCAAAATTCAAACTTATAAAATTACAAATTCATATGTTTTATATTTTGTCATGGTAGTAATAATAATAATAATAATAATAATATAAAAATTCATGATATTTCTAAAAAAAAAACTAAAAAAAAATGAAAAATGAAAATGTCCCTAAACAGCTCAAAAAGAGTCAAAATATTTTCAAAGTTGTATGGTGTATAGAAAATGCTAATTTAAACATTCAGTGAAATTTTCATGTATCTACAGTTGTTCGTTTTTGAATTGCAACAAAATAAGGAAATCGCTACATGAGTAATCGAGTGAAAATCCAATGTTGTAAAAATTTGAATTTCAAACGCTCATAAAAATTTAATTTGACTGTCCGGTAGAGATTTTTTTATTGATAAAGGTAGATAATCTTATAAGGAATCTTGTGTTTCATTTCAAATCTTAGATTTAAAAAGAAAAATTTTTACGAATTCTTAACTCAAAATAATTTGCTAATTTTCGTGATTTTTCCATATTTTGTCAATTTTTGAACTTTAAATGCTTATAAAAAAAAATTGTGACTAAGGATTTTTAATATTTTTCATCTGCCTTTGAAACAATATATTAGGAGCCTTCTATTAAATTTTCAAGCTTTCGCAACCAACAAATAAAATTTTATTGATATTTCTAAAAAAAAAACTAAAAAAAAATGAAAAATGAAAATGTCCCTAAACAGTTCAAAATAAATCAAAATATTTTGAAAATGTTATCGTGTATAGAAAATGCAAATATAAACAACCAGTGAAAATTTCATGTATCTACGGTCATTTGTTTTAAAGTTACACCAAAAACCAAATTCGATTTTTTGGAAAATCGATTTTGCGTAAAAATTCCCGTTTTTCCTTAATTTTTATGTTGTTTTTCCCGGCGCTTGTGAAAACTACTGGAAAATGTTTACTTTTGACCCCCCAAAGTACCAACTAGATTCACTTTCCTATCAGAAAAGGTACTATTGAAGAAAATCGAAGCACTTTTACTGTCCCAAAACGTGATGACAGACACAAAAAAAAATAAAAAAAAAAATAAAAAAAAATAAAAAAAAAATAAAAAAACACACATCATTGTAAAATCAATACATTCATCGTTTCACTCAGAATCTAAAATATAAAAATATAAAAATATAAAAAAAAACACACATCATTGTAAAACCAATACATTCATCGCTCCGCTCAGAATCTAAAATATACTTGGAGGTATAAACTATCTGAATAAGCTGTTATTTGCTAAACTAGCACTCAAAAAATTAGTATAGGTCAGTGGTGGCAAATTATTTTGAAACTACGTGCCAAAAATTACTTTTTTTTTTTTTTATTATTCTAGTATTTAGTGTATCATTAAATTATGAAAAGAAGTACTATTACATTATTATATTATATTAAAATCGTAACGATTATTCAATTGTATCTGTAGATATTAGAATATAATATACAGTGTGATGTTATTTATTATTAAAAATAAAAATAATGTATATTATATATATATAATATTAATATTTTAATTTTTCGGGGGCCCTCAACATTTTATTGCAGCCACCTCAGACACGAGTGCCATGGATTTGCCATATTTGGTATAGGTACTGCAAATGATGGCGTAATATAACTTTTTACTTTTGGCTAATAATCTATTTACTTATGAAATATATTATTATATATTGCATTTATATTTTGATCAACATTAATTATAAATTGTAATCTTTTTTTTTTTTTTATTTATAAAAAATCTTAGTTTATTAGGCACCTAGGTACTTATTAGTCATTACTTATTAGTCATTTCTTTATGATGAATCACAAAATGTTCATAATAATCACCCTAACACTCTCATTCTTATATTTTATTAATTAAGTATATTTATCTCTTAAAATTGTATAATCTAGCTTCTTAAGTTTCTCAATGTCACTATTTTATATGGCCGTTAATAAATAATTATAGAAGGTGATTATTTTATCATGAAAAACTATTGTTTCAAAAAGTATAAATGTTTTTGGAAGTATTTTTTCATATGGTTTCAAGTCGTTTTTTAAAAAATTATATTTTTTTATCCTTATAATTTTTTCCTTTTTTGAATGAAAAAATACAGTATTTTTTATTCTTAAAAGTCAGAATACTTTTCTTAAAATGTTGATACATAAAATTGAATTTATGACTTATGATACGATATAAGTTATAAGTATTTAAAGTAAGGTTGAGCGGAGTAGAGGACCAACATTTTTCGGGGTAACTGCTTACCACTCCACTCGTAAACTACTCGTCCTAAATTCGATTTTTATCCATCGAAATACTCAGAAAAATATTCTGCTTTGAAGATTAAACTATAACTGTATAATGTCATTTAAAAAAGTAATAAACTTAAAAAATTATAATGATACAAAATATTAAATAAATAGTTTAAATACATTTTGAAATAATGAGTGGTTCGTGATATTAACAGAATCACACTTTATAAATATAATGATAAGTATTAGGCACCTATATATATATAATGATTATATCGAATAAATAATGCATTCATGCGATCTACAAATATTTTTATATACCTATTATATTCATAATTATTTTAAATAAATATCTATACTTTTATTTAATTTGCTCAAACTTAATAATGACAATATTTATTATTTACCTACACACAAATCTGAAATCATTCAAACAATCAACTGATTACCTACAATAGATATTATAATTTTTAATATTCCCTTGAAAATAAAATATGTATATATTATATTAACCTCTTATGGTTCTCTAATTCACTACAACTATCCAAAAAAATGTAACACTGACCTCTGAGATTTCTGCATTCAGTTTACAATCCATACAAACTTTATGGACCAACATTCATCTTTTTCAACCCAAGATATTACCTATATCAAAAGGATATAAAATAAAACTTTCATCCTTTAAGAGCCATTATTTTTATCTTGCTATTAGAACCTAAAAATCATATTGTAATAAACATAAGAATAACGCAATTTAGTATTGCGAACTTCTTAGTTTACTTCAATTATTTATTAATTTACCATGATACATACCTAACATTTTTGTTTGTTGTAATTATGCTTTTTTCTAACTAAATTTATATTATTAAAATAAGTGTCTTATTATCAATATTATTAATAATGATTAATTCAGTTTAATTATTTTATCTCCACAAATTTACAATGAATAATCAAAAGATTTTTTATTTTTAAGAACAATATACATATACAAAAAACTTTCATTGAATTGCATAATGAAGGTAAAGAAAAGTGCATAATATTTAAATTAAATATAATCAATTGTATTTAGAATTGCGTTTCGAAATCAATATTTGTATTTTACACATAAACGAAATCCCATATCTAGAAAAAAAATTGAAACTGGTTATTATAAGGATACAATTTTATTTGATTGGTTTGACATTGTAATGATAAATTGTTTTATGTTTAATATTACGATATAGAAAAAAATCAACCTATCATTAAATTTTTTTGCAACATGTTTTATGTAAATAGGAAAGTAAATTTTCATTTTCATTCATAATATAATAATGTGCCCTCTAAGAAAAATCGCAATGAAAACCCATTTTGGTACATTTTCCGTATCTATAAATGAAAATATTAATTTCTTAAAATAATTGTCAGGGAGGTAGAATAGCTCAAAATGACTAAGTGTTAACATTAAACTGGAAAGTATAATTTATTTAGAGGGCGGTAGCTACAAAAGTGTTAAAATACGAAAAATTTAATAATATATTATATACAACCGGTTACAATCAGACATAATCTACGTTTATCTAATTACTAATTATGGTATGTATATCTGGAAGGGAAGTAATCATGACATTCATTTTGCTTAAATACGGATAATCAGTTGCGATTTGCTATCAGTTTTAATCCACAGAACCAAGCATACACAGCACAGTTTAAAAATAAAACACCGAAAAAATGGCAGCTAAGGTATTTAGATTTTGTTCAATAATATTATATCAGTATGATTTCGAGAAGTCTATTACATTTCATAAATTTTAAATTTTTAGTTATGCTTTAAATTTTATCCGGCAATATAATGTTATTTTATGGTTTTTTCAGATGATCATTTTCGCAGCCTGCGTGGCCGCCGCACTAGCCGACTACTCCGCCCCAGCTTACCCAGCTCACCACGCTTACGCCGCTGAACACTCAGCCCCAACCCCATACAACTTCGAGTACAGTGTAAGCGACCCACACACTTACGACGTCAAGAGCCAATCCGAACACAGTGACGGACACGGAAACGTCAAGGGATCGTACAGCCTTTTGGAAGCCGACGGTTCCACCCGCGTCGTCGAATACACCGCCGATGACCACAGCGGATTCAACGCTGAAGTCAAGAAAATCGAAGGGCACGGACACGGTTACAGCGCACCCGCTTACAAATCCGCCCCGGCCTACAAATCCGCACCGGCTGCATACGCTGGACACTCTTACGCTGCCCCAGCTGCATACGCTAGCCACTCATACGCCGCCCCAGCTGCATATGCCGCCCCGGCTGTATACGCCGGACACTCGTACGCCGCCCCAGCTGCATACGCCGGACACTCGTACGCTGCCCCAGCTGCATACGCCGGACACTCGTACGCCGCCCCAGCTGCATACGCCGGACACTCGTACGCCGCCCCAGCTGCATACGCCGGACACTCGTACGCCGCCCCAGCTGCATACGCCGGACACTCGTACGCCGCCCCAGCTGCATACGCCGGACACTCGTACGCCGCCCCAGCTGCATACGCCGCACACACTTACTCCGCCCCGGCTTACAAACCAGTTGCATACAAGGCATACTAATAATTTTTGTTTCAACAACTCAACAAATTCAATTTTTTACAATAAGCTGCATTTTTTGTCATAGAAATCAGCTTTTTTGTTATTCGAACAACTGATCATGTATAATTTATTCAATTGTGAAATATATAATGAAACATTTGAATTCTAATATGTTTTATTCTTATTTGTTTACGCAATAGAAATCCATAGTCTTTAATTCCTTTACACTTCCCCAATTTGGTCATAATATGATATGTTTATAAAATATGTGTAACAACTAACAACAGTAGTTGTAACTTTTTTTGGATAGATAACCGAGGAGGCTATTTATGAGTTATCATTATAAGATCGAGTTATTTAAGCATATTAATATGATATAAATTAAGAATATACAATGAATACTACCTAAAAACTATTTATGTTTATATTTAACAGTTTTTTTATTCAATTCGTTTTGAGGTTTTTACTGTGTGGATTATTACAACCAGATCTTAATACTTATTTAAAGCTCTAAAATTGATGTTATTGACATAATATAATCATTCTCAATATTTTATTCTTAATTATATAAAATATTATTTATTTAAAATCAAGGAAATAATTCAAATAATTTATGAGTACCTATGTATAAGTATTTTAGTGATCAGTTCAGCAGTTGTCGACATAATCGATTTGGTTTTTGTTGTAATTAATAATCAGCACCTAACCATAAATAATTGACACTAAATATGTATGCAAGAAATTTCAGGGCACAATATAATTTTCATTATATGAAGGCTTCTTTTGTGGAATGTAGAGATTTTAAATTTTCAACGTTTATTTTTATAATGTTAAATGGTAAATAATTGTTTATAAGTAAAAATTTTTGGAAATTGAATATATTTCTCTAAATTTGTTTTTATATCAATGAAAAAATATCAAAAATATATAATATTTAAAATTTTTGGTTTTGAAGTTAATAAATTGTGAACAAAATTAGTTAAAATTATAAAAATTTCAAATTTTATTATTTTTTAGCTAAAATGTGCAATGTATATATTAAGATCAAAAATGTAATAAGCACACAATTCTTTATAAGAATTTTTAATGGAATTAAAAAAAAAGTTATAACTTATAATCGCTTACAGTTTATGGGCGTTTAATATTAAAATTTAAAGTATTCAATTAGATAATCATACATATTATAATAGCAATTTATAATGATTTTTGATATTTTGTTAGTATTAAAAAAATAGTTATTAATGGCAGAAACTTGAAACATTCCACCATTCACGAATTCGTCATTTTCAGAAATCTTAAAAATATATTTTAAACTCATTTTAAGCTATTAATACCACGAACATAGTCATACAGTTTGACGGAACTTGTTAATGCACGAATTCATGATATAATATTAATATGACGATGATGTTTTTAGTGAAATGAGTTCAACATCAACACACAAATACCTTATTAAAAACAGTAATTATTAATAGTCAAATTAATAAATTATAAAATATCCTTAGAATGAGTAAGAAATAGAGACTGACAAAGGTTTCCGCTCTACAGAATCGTTTTTCGTACGCAATTATTTGTGATTGTATTCAAGTTTAACAGATCCATTACAGCAACCTACTCAATGACGAGGTACTTTCAAAACCTACTATACTGCAAATCGACTTCCTGGTTTTTTAATTACAATATAATCACGCTATAATAATGAGTGTCAAAAAGTTTGGACTGGCTACATGGAACACACAACCCGATTCACTTAGCTCGACACAGTACAAGCCATATGTTATTGTATTTTGAAAGCTACACTTAAATTCAATTAAAATACTTTATTGACTGGAATTTAATTAATTACCACGTTGTTTGAAAACATAAAATCATGATTCGCTTGACTATATAATTTATTGAAATCATTTTCAAATACATGTCATCAAAAATATTATATCCTATAAAAAAACTGAATCTAAATTAACCACTTCAGTTGCTCTGCTATGTAGTAGATTTCAAGTGCACCTCACCATACGCTAGGTCATTATAATGTATGTGTTAAATTTGATTTCAATGATAGTTCACTGCAAACAAAAAACGATTCCAAGCGGAAACAGAATATCAACCTTTATTTCTAACGATATTTTATGTTATATTTTTATTAATGATAATACAATACTTTTCTTTTTGTTTAAATCTAAAATATATGTTTAGTATAGGAATATCAGTAACTATATCTAATATTGAATAATAATTTTCGTTTTTTTGTTACTTACACTAACTAATATCAACACAAGCTATTGCTTATAGAGAGTAGGTATTAACTTATAATTGTTGTAGTATGTAACTGTTTTGTATATATATATATATATATATATGTATAGTTTAAATAAATAAATACAATTTTTATACCCAATATTTTTATCATGTGAAAATTTAAAAAATAAAAAGAAGTTCAATCGTCTATTAAAAAGCACGAAATGCACAAAATATTATGAAAATTATATAATTTAAAAAATTATTTATAATAATATGTAAACTTATTTGTTGATAAATTAAAGTCTCTACTTGCAGTAATTTGTTTTTGAATCAAACAATGAAACAAAATTGATTTTATCAAAAGCTGGTTTGGTGTAAATATTCCCGTTATTTGTATTTGTATTTTTCAACTATTTTATTTTCAAAATTACGGAGAATTTTTATTTTTTACTCAAGCAACCGCACATCCAATCATAAAGTACTAACTATAGAAGGTGGGCCTTATTTGATCTGGATCCAATTTTATATCAAAAACTACACTTGAAATTGAAGAATCAACTATTTTTACTGCTCCTAAAGGTTACCACCACGGATGGACCCCAAAAAAATAATAAATCATAGTTATAAAAAAAATACAAGAATAAAGTATAAAACTATTCATTCATTGCTCCTCTAGGAATCTAAAATGAAATCATTAAAAATAATAAAAATTAACAATATAGTAAAAAATCCAAAGGAAAGGTTAGGTTAGGTATTGGAAATATTTATTTTACATTATTTTTGAATAATGTAGCATTCAAATTATAATTTGATTTTAAGCAGAATAATTTAAGCAGTATAACTTGAACAATTAAGTGTATAACTGTGGTACCTGAATTCTACATTTATTTCACCTAATCATAAATGTATTAAAAAAATTATTATGTTAGCAATAGATGAGAAATTGACATTTAAATGTTCAAATAAGAAGTATTTAATTAACGAGAACATTTCAAAATGTTTGTAAAATAATTAGTTCGTGTGGTACTTTCCGAAATTATCATTTTAATTTTAGGTTGTAAAATAATTTATAGAAATATAAAATCCTTCAAAATCTCAATGATATGACTATACAGCGTTGTGTATTTATGTCAGACCAATTTATTGGAAAGGAATATTTAGCGTAAATATGGTAACAAAATTAGTCTTAAATAAGACAAAATATGAGAAAATAATAATATACATTGTATGTAACCGGTTGTAACATAATAATATAATGACATAAACTCACGGAATTAAGTTATTGGTAGGGATGAAATTTTTACTTTCCGACAACATAAATACGGAGAATCACAAGTGCTTGCTATCAGTTTCAATCTACAGATCAAAGTGCAAACATCACAGTTAAAAAAATATTAAAAAAAAACCAACAACAAAAATGGCCGTTAAGAGTATTTACAGTCAATTCAATATCGTTATAAAGTTTGTCATCAAACGATAATAAAAATTATTTTAATAAATTGTCAATTCCAAAATTCTAAAATTCGATTTTAAAAACTAACCACCTTTTTTATATTTCCAGATGATCATTTTCGCAACCTGCGTGGCCGCCGCACTCGCCGACTACGCCGCCCCGGCTTACCCAGCACACCACGCTTATGCAGCTGAACACTCAGCCCCGACCCCATACAACTTCGAGTACAGCGTAAATGACCCACACACCTACGACGTCAAGAGCCAATCCGAACACAGCGACGGACACGGAAACGTCAAGGGATCGTACAGCCTTTTGGAAGCCGACGGTTCCACCCGCGTCGTCGAATACACCGCCGATGACCACAGCGGATTCAACGCTGAAGTCAAGAAAATCGAAGGACACGGACACGGTTACAGCGCACCCGCTTACAAATCCGCCCCGGCCTACAAATCCGCACCTGCTTCATACGCCGGACACTCATACGCCGCCCCAGCTCAATCTTATGCCGCCCCAGCCGCATACGCCGGACACTCTTACTCTGCCCCGGCTGCATATGCTGGACACTCTTACGCTGCCCCGGCTGCATACGCTGGACACTCTTACGCTGCCCCGGCTGCATACGCTGGACACTCTTACGCTGCCCCAGCTGCATACGCTGGACACTCTTACGCTGCCCCAGCTCACTCTTACGCCGCCCCAGCTCACTCTTACGCCGCCCCAGCTCACTCTTACGCCGCCCCAGCTCACTCTTACGCCGCCCCAGCTCACTCTTACGCCGCTCCAGCTCATTCTTACGCCGCCCCAGCTTATAAACCAGCTGCATACAAGGCTTACTAATAATTTATTGTCAGTAATTTAATTTTTTTTCACATCGAGCTTTAATTTCTAACTGTCGAAATCAGCTCTTTCGTTATACCATCCGAACATGATATTGGCTAATTTGTTTTATTGTTAAAAATATAATAAATTATATGAATTCAATTTTAAGAATGAGTCTTTTTTATTTCTATTCTTAACGATTAGTATTAATTAGTATATTTGGGTCATTTAATGTGAACATTGCATATTATTATATATTATATTTTACAACACATTTTTTATTTATGATTAAAAAAAATCATTTATTATTAATGAACGTATTGGCTCGAGTATGGTACATACTAACATACTATTTAAGTACACAATATATTATGATAATTTTAAAATAATTACGTCTTTATATTGTATCTATTTATGAATTATATATAATATTATGTAGGTGCCTATGTTATATTATGTATAATTAATACAATTTTAAAAACATTAGTTAAAATATATAACAACTATAAGAATACAAAAGAAAATATTAAATTACAATATAGTTATAGAAATAAGGTTATGTATTCATAATCACTTAACAGATTACAGGAATTTAATATCGAATAGATCAACGTTGCTGAATTTGTTACTTTCTCGGGAGATAAAATCTATAGATTTATTATAACCATATAAAGTTCAGTGTATTTTAATTAATAATTTAGGGAAAGAACGAGACAAATATTAAAGACATGAATCCTTATTAGTTTCAGTAATTCCAGAAAAGATATGATTTAATTTAATAGTTTGACTTGAAACAAATGATTGTAAATTAGATCCTATATTAAGTGAATCTAAATTAAGACTATCTTGAATATTTTGAGTATTATAAACTAAGAAATGGGTCATGCGTTTGCAGTGTTTCGTCATATTTTATGCAGGGTATAAATTATCTCTGGAGATGCTCAAGCGATTCAATAAGACTAGTTTGCCAAGGGTTTCATAGAACTTAACAATAATCAGTTATTAGCCTGACAAGTGAGATATAATAATTGAGACTGTGCTCATATTTGAACTATTTAGTATTCTTAATAAAAGCCAAGATTTCTTAAGGTTTTTTAGTAAGATTAATCAATATATGAGAGGAAAACATAAAATTAGACTGAAATATGACCCCAGGATCCCTAACATAGTTAACTAGGTGAACATCATGAATAAATTTCGAACTGAGTTTTATTTTTTTAATAGAACGATAAGGCAATATTTTAAGCTTGAACGCATTTAGATTCGTTTAATTTGAATCTTTTATATGAAAACAACTTGATAATACGTTAAAGTATAACATTAATTATGTCATAAAAAAAAAAGTTGATGATTACTTTCAGAATTTAAAACAAGAACTTATACCTACCCATGATACAAATGGCCAACAATAAAGATGATTTTTTGTATTTATATTAGTTATACCAGTGAATTAAAAGTTAATACGAAAACAATTTATGTTTATACCATTACAGCTACGCTCATTGCTCATATAGTCATATACCATTTTACTAACCATATTAGGTTTTATTATTTTTTATGTCAAATGTAGTCAGCTTATACGTTTCTCCAATGCTGCGTTGTATTTCATTATTGACAAACAATGAAAACTTTTTTATTGACATTTAATAATTGATTTATAATAGGTAGTTCATCTAATATAATGTGTTGATACTCTTATACGATTGTACAAATAGTATTATACGTACCTAGGCATATTATACATTTATACCACATTGGGTGGTTTTGTTTGGCAGTTCCCATATTATGATTCGATACTCGTGATAATAATATTTTTGGTTGGCCTACATAATCTACAATCGTGTTACTGACGAGTGGCACGTGTTAATTATAGTAGGTACTGGGCATAGGCGAAAATTGGGGGCTTGGGGGGCTAGGCCCCCCAGCCCCCGAACTTAACCGTAGCCCCCCAAAAACCTAGGACATACAATTTTAATATCCTATATTGCAATGGTCTGCTTGCTTTTAATATATTCAGCCTTCCCAAGCCAAATGTTGAAATGGCGCCTATGGTACTGGATTTTAATTATCGCCACAAAATTCGTAGGTACATAATATAATATGTCACCAGATTTCTGTGATAGGTACAAGATCTCAGTTCAAACTTATTAGACGTGTGTAATCGCGTTGTTACAATATTTTTCAATACCATCGTAAAAGTTTGCAATCAATTGTTTCGTCCACTTGTCAACGTCCATCGTACTCCCAATGGTATATTGGGGAGTATACGGCGATTACTCATTAACTCCTAACAATATTCATACATAAATGTGTATATACACTGTACCTATATATTGTGAAAATAATACTAATCGTAAAAGTATACTATGGTGGACAATGTTTTAAAATATTGTACTTATTTGTTTTTTAATCAGCGGTAAAACCACACCACTCGATAACCAAACAATATTATAATCATACAAAATGGGTGATGTGTAAATAGATCGTCTGAAGAAAATGGATATGGTGGATAAAAATGTATTAATTATATTATCCACGTATAATGGATTGTATATTATCATTGTTTTTTTGTAAAATATATGAAGTGTTGGTTGAGAATTAAGGAGTCCAATAAAAATAATATTTATTGACTGTAATGTCAGTGCGCAGCAAAAACATTTTTTTTTAAATATTATGGCGTTTACGTACTCATATTATTACTAACCACCAATTCGTCATTGCAGCGTGCACCATTAGCGCAGATATTAATCTGTCATTCACACCCAATTGTATGGTTTACGCGGTATTACACGGGCAAATCTCCGCGTCACTCGCCAAGGTAAGAATATCCCGTGCGTCAGTTTTGCCGCTTACACCGCGGTCGTAGCGTGTTATTAGTTAACCTTAAGCACGGTAACCTTGCATTTTGCTTGTCCGGTCCCGCATTTTTGGTGTTGCTCTGCATACCGGACATACAAATAACAAGCGGCACCGCACCATCACGACGGATACGATATTTGCTCATGCCGCCGCCGCCGTGTGTCATAACAGGTGGACGGAGAAGGTGCGACCGAACACCACCTGAATTACGGTTACGTATACTATGGTTATGCGCCATCACGCGAGGCGGACCTCGACGATGAACCGGTAGCCGGACGGTAGCGTTTTACGGCGAATGCCTTAGTGTTCTTTAAGGACGCCACCGCGGAGCACAGGATTGATAACGGCCGTTGCACAGCGAATGTGCCACACACTGTGTGGCCGGCAGCTACGTTTACGAGTCAATAGTATTATATTATCATCATTAATTATATGTCACGTTTTTACCGCTTGTCAAAATCGATGATATCAGTGTGAGAAATTCGAAAAATTACTCTCTATCGGCGTAATAATATTAATATAGTAGTATTATGACGTGTGTTTAATAGTATACGTATTGTAATTTATAATAATATAACAGCTGGACATTTTAAATTCATATTATATTCTACAGCACTTTTAATAAATATTTGTGAGTAAACTAAATCAGAGAGTATACGATGGTGACACGGTGTACCCGGGATGCATTTTTTGCCTAATTACAAACTAAATATTGAAGAACCAACCCTAAAATTGAAATACAATCTCTTCAAAGTACCACTCAGACTGGATATTCCATCTTTACAGGTGCTACATGATACACTTTGAGAACTTTTTCCACCTAAAAAGTGTTCGGGGAAAAAGATAATTATTCTGAAACAAGTATACGTCATTGAAAATTCTTTCTTATTACGTATCTTGGAATCTAAAATTACGAACATTTCACATAATAATTTATTTTAAATATTATCAACCTTTATAATATATCTTCATTCTTCATATAAAAACATTTTATATTTTAATTTTTAAACTTTTTTATAATTATATAATACCACTATCGTACCCATAATCCTTTTTAAATTATAAAATATTACTTACCTTAATTTTAAAGAGTGTGTTTATTTCATGTGAGTTCTTGTTGACGTAATCTGTAATTTTAAGAATATAAAGTATTAAAACTATATAATAATTAAAATCCATCGCATAATATGATGTAATACCAATGTTAATATAGATTTTGTAAATGTATATGTTTCATCATTAAACTATTTTAATTAATCATGAGGTTTCCATTTCTATTTTTTACTTTCTTTATTTTTAATCAAGTAAGTATGGTAATTGAAATGAAAAAGTCTGAATTTTGAAAACTTCAAGAATTTGTGTTAAATAGGAAAATAGTAAAAATGTAATTCAGTAATGATTAATCGGTGGTAATTTAACTAGCTTTAATATAAAATATTAATGAGTGAGATTTGATATAACACCCAAGCGGTAAAACCACTTGAATCCATAAAAACGTCGTAGTGAAGAATCCCGAAATTTCTATTTTTTAACTTTTCTCCTAGACTATGATAGCTAGAAAGTTGGTTGATAACTCATTAAAAAGGGCTTATCAATTAAATACTAAATAGTAAATATGGAATTAAAAAATTATTTAATTTTTCACAGGTAAAAAAAGAGTTATATTTAGTTAGATTTTCATTTAGCTAGGTAGATTTCCGAAACTGGAAAACGGATTTTAATGTTTCGGGTCTTGTTGGACTCACATTAGTTAGGAGAAGCGAAGTGAAGATTTCCAGAACTTTATCACCAAATCACTACAAAGCTGTAAAGCTGAAAAACATCAAAAAACGCCCAATAAAATTTGTTTTAATTTTTTTTTAATGTTCTGTAGTGAATTAACTACTGAAGGTTAAGTTCTGAAAATCTTCAGTGCACTTCTCCTAACCGATGTGAATCTAACAAGACCCCAAACAACGAAATCTGCTCTCCAGTTTCGGAGATCTATCTCGCTAAATGAAAATGAAAATGATTTTTTGTAGGGTTGTTCACACCGACATTTTTCTGGATTCAAATTGTTATACCGCTTGGGTATTATATCAGTTAATATATTTCTAAAAATTAAAAATCAAGAAAGTTTACATGGCTTGGCAAGCGTTTTTTTTTACTTTTGAGTTGACACATTTTTAATTTCTGATTGTTAAAATATTTAAATATTTTCCTCGTTGTATTATAATTATCGACACTAATTAATTATTAAATACAAACTGATCTTTTTTATTATGTTATATACGATTCGAAAATATAACTGGTTCATAATACAATATTTTGAAAAATACTTTTAAATATTATAAAACCTGGTTATAAACCTGGTTGGTATATCATAGTATCATACTTATACAATTGTTCTCTGATGGATATGAAACTTTATTGTAATATACTTATAAGCATAGTATATGTTTTCATTCTTTATCTAAATATATATATATATATATATATATAGGTCAATGATTTCAAGTAGGTATAAAATAATTTTTTTTTTTGTATTAAGTTATAATTAATATTGTTATTATGTTTGAAGGCCATATTAAATTACAGTATTGAATACACTTGAAACTGCTTAAAATTAAACATAATAAAAATAGGGTGTTCGTAGACAAATAATTATAGATATTTCTGACCATATGATATAATATGCAAGGTGATCCATTTAAGGTCTACAGTCATAACTTCAAAGTTTTAATTTGTTGAAATATTTTTTTTTACATAATTGTGTATCACAAAATTAAAGAATAAAATTATTTCTTACAAATTGTTATTGATGTAATTGTACAAGTTTTTACTTTTTTGAATGAAAAAATACATTTTAAATTTCATATGCTGAATAAGAACAGTATTCAGAGTTTTTTTTTATACAATATATAATACAAATTATAATAATTATATTATTATAAAATGTATACTAATTATATTATAAAATGTATACAAATCAAATGTTGAACTAGTAAATTCGTTTAAAGTATTATAAGTTTAGATGAACGGAGTAGAGTAACACAGGGGTACCTCACTAAATATTGGTCATTATTGTTCATTAGTTATAAGTATTTAAATAATTGATGAGTGGATTCATTCATCAAAACTTTAAATACTTATAACACTAATGAACTACTCATTCAAAGTTTGATTTTTATGTACCAAAGAAAAGTATTTTGCTTCGGAGTATAAAATTAAAAAATAAGTTAAATTAGAGTTTAATGATCAATCATAAAGAATTTTATGAACATAAAAAATTAAAAGTTGTGTACATTTCAAATGCTCAAAATTAGTCTAAATATAAATGATAATTTAAGTAGAGCTTTTCCAGCCTCTACAATTAATTCTCTTTGAATTACATAGAGAAACTAAAATCGTGCGACAACAAGAATTTTGAATGTATTTGCGGTTATATTTTTGAATTACGATAAAATATAAAAATAGATTACTAGGCGACTTACAATTTACGAGTTCAAAAACTGGTTTTGATTAGAAATTCTAGTTTTTTGCTTATTTTATTTTACTTTCTTTCCAATTATTTATTTTAAAAAAACACAACACATCCTTGTAAAAACAATACATTTACAACTCCGCTCAGAAACTAAAAATATGAGTAGGTATGTTGTCAATTAAAAAAGTAAAAACTTGAAGAATTGTAAAAAATATAATTTTTTTCAAAATTGTGGTTTCTCAATGACATCAAATTATGTGAATAAAAGTTAAAACCCTTTTAATAATGAGAGTATACACTTAAATGGATTGCTTTGTATATTAATACTCATTATAAAATTATGCATGTTTTAAATTTATGAAAACAGTAAATAAGTGCTCTACAGCAATTTCGTATAAAATATTTTGGATTTATATTTATTTGGATTTCAGTTTTTAATTCTTAAGTATAAAATGTGTTTTTATTTTTTGAACGTTGCTCTCGCGTACTCAAAATGTAATACCTATGTTTCCAATAAATAATAATAGTTTATACGTATAAATAAATAAAAATGGGTGCACAAAACTTGGGTTGTTAATAAAATTATATTTTATATTCGTGTAGGTACATTTTATTATGATACATATAATTATACTGCAATTACTTACATATATTTTAGAAAACGAATACAAATATTATAATACTATACAGTAAGAAAATTATTAATTAAAATGTTTAAAAAAAAATTAATATAAATCATAATATGAGAACTACTATAATACGCATTGGGAAGGTAACGAAAAAGAGCTAACAGTATCCGTATCATTTATGTAATTGTTACAAGCGTAGGGACAGTATAACCACGTTTTTAGTGCTTGCATATTATTATGTTATTCATAATATAATTACGATATTAAAACAAGATCGCCCATTCGTGCAAACATGTAGTAATCGCATACATAATAAAGAGTATTACAATTTCGTAGCCCAGGCGCACGAAATAATAAATTTAGAGAAAGTTAAATGCATTTTAGTTTTCTGTCCGTAAAAACCGCACACAACGCAAAAGCCCTCTTGGCCGAGTAAAATTAATTCTCTGTACCATCTACCATGTTTATAATATGCTATTATTATTAATATTATTACAGGTTCGTTATTGCAGATTCCTATAATGTTGAACGGACGCTGTACCCGTTTCGAAACATTAGACTTGACTCTATATAAAATCTATTTATCTCCATTATTCGAATCTCGCGTTTCTGAAATATCATTATATCAATTTAACTTATCGAAACTTTAACGTCAACATTATGTAATATCATAATATTAATATAATATGTTCGTTAGATAAACGCATGACCGAACAATGTCTTTACGTCAGTGAACGTGTAAGTACTATATAGACACTTATATACAATAAAAATGACTGCACGCAGAGTATGAGATCCGAATCGCTGTAGAAATGTAAAGACGTTATTGGAGCAACGATTTTGAAAACAATAACATACATGCGTGCTATAATGTGTTAATTAAAATGATAGTTAAATGTTTACATAACTACGTGTCACACGTCGACAGCGCACAATAGTCAATAATTATTTTAACAATGAACACATAATATCCCGTTACCTACTGCTATGATATATTTGTAAGCAATTATATGAATCCCGGACAAGAATCTGATAATCGAATATTCTATTGTTAATTTTTTTTTAAACGTTGTTTATGGACAATTCCATTGAAAATATAAATAGCGCCGTGTACACGTATGCAAATAAACCCAATCAACTCACCTT